TTTTTTTTCGTCAAAATTTGCAATAGAACAAATTTTCGTTGAAAATTTCAACGGAATAGATTGCAAACATTATTTCTTAAAGAATGTCCTTGTGCTTATTATGTGTATTGTTTTGCTCATCAATTTCAATTAGCCTTGACTGCTGCCTCTAAGAAAGTTTTTTTTGTTTATCAATTCTTCCAGAATTTGAATTTCATCATTAATTTCATCAATGCTTCTTCTAAGCATCATGATCAATTCCAAGTTGCCCAAATTTCTAAATTTGAGCGTTTGAAGGCTATTGCTGAGCTTGAAACTGGTACAGGTTCTAACGAAGTAGTGATACTAGATGAGGTTCTCATCTTTATTCTATATGCAGTCTTTAATGAGGTTATAATGAATCGTGTTCAGTATTTGAAAAAATTCGTAGTGAAGGCTCAAATTACTCTCAAAGAGGAGATGCTACTGCATCTCATAAGATAATCACTTTTTTTTAGTTTATCTTTAATTTACTTTTGATGAAGGAGATCATGGGCATAACTGAAATTCTTTCTCAAGCATTACAACAAAAACCTCAAGATATTTTGAATGCTATACAATTAGTTTCAAGTACAAAGGAACTTATTCAAGAATTACGAGATGATGGTTGGAAAAAAATACTTGAAAGTTGTTAATTTCTCCAAGCTTCATGAAATAGATGTTCCAGATCTTGATGCTCAATATATTGAAGGTCGTGGCCGTCGACAACATGATCAAATAACTATTGAGCATTACTATCATTTTGATATATTTAATTCAATCATTGACTTTCGATTACAAGAGTTAGATAGAAGATTTAATGAGCAAACAATGGAACTTTTATCACTTAGCTCTTCATTAGATCCGAAGAATAGTTACAAAGCATTTAACGTTGATGATATTTATAGGCTTGGATAGAAATACTACCCTCTTGATTTTTCTGAGCAAGAGAGAATTATTTTCAATTGTCAATTGAAACATTTCCACAAAGACATCATAAAACATCCAGAACTTCAAAACTTACCTTCAATTTCTGAGTTGTGTCGAGGATTAGCTAAGACAAGAAAGTCAAATTCCTATATCATTTGGTTGATAGGCTAATTCGTCTTATTTTAATACTACCAGTTTCAACAGCAAGTAGTGTACATGTATTCTCAGCAATAAAAATTGTGAAAACAAGGCTTCAAAACAAAATGGAGGATGACTTTCTTGCAAATAATTTGGTTCTGTATATTGAAAGAGATATTGCTGAAACTTTTACTACAAATTCTATACTTGAAGATTTTGTCAGTTTAAAAGAGCATCGTTTACAATTTTAGGTATGTAATTTTTTTATTACATTTTAAATTGTTTATTAAATGTTAATATACATATAATTATTATATTTGTGTGTATTCATATTCTTAGGACAATGCTTAGTTCATTATTTATTATGCTGTGGGAGGAAATAGAGATTCTTTTGTTTGGAATGCTTGCCACATTAGTGCTTTTTTATATGTTTGCTTTGATATATAATCGTTGGCTATTGTTTATTTGAATGTTCAATGTTATGTGACATTATTTAGTAAATAATTTAGATAAGTATGATAGAGTTCACGGTAAATTTTTTTCTAATAAATTTGTGTAATTACGATAAATATTTGATATATCAAATTTTTTTGTCCCGGCTAAAATGAAATCTTGGCTCTGCCACTGTGTTTGGCTTATATTTTTTTTTCTTTACATGATCCAACATAGTCCCACATATTTTTATGTATGTAGGAGATAATTTTATGTTGTAGAAAATAATAAACATCAAACCCATATGTCAAACACATGTTATTCGTTGATTGTTGTTTCTTTTTTACTTTTTTTATTTGACTTTGTTTCGCGTTATAAAACTAAAATTGAAACCGCGGACTGCAAAGTCATATATGGTTTCTTACTGAAAGTCAGCACTCGCTTTTGTCGTTTTCTTTCTCTTCTTTAATCTTTGTTATTGCATTCCTAAATGCAAGCAGAAACTTCAAACTTAACGCTCCGCCTCTTGTGTGAATGCATTCACTCCTCTGCAATTTTTATCTTTTTTTTTTTTATTATTATTTTGTGGGTAAAACACTTCTCAGCAATGTTTTATTAATTTTTTTATTGGAAAATGTGTTTGTCACTTTAAATGACACAACACTCTGTCATTTTAAGAGAGAGACAGACACAGAAATTTTTTTTATTTAAATTATAAATTAAAAAAAAAATCACACACTTTCTCTCTCTTATGATTTCTATTTTTCTGTGTTTTTCTCTTTCCTAATAACTTAACTTATATCATTTAAAATGACAAACGGTACACTTTTTTATATTTTGTAATCTTTGTCCAAATGGAAAGCATTAAAAACCTCCCTTTACTAATTCATTCAACTTTCCAAATTATCTTCTCTCAAATGTGGTATATTCTCATACCTTTTCAGTGATTTAGAGTTTACCTGGTTGGTGATAAGGTGCTTTATACATATAAAATATTACACTTTAATTGTCATAATGTCCTCGTCAGTCATCACATACATGAATGCAAATTAAAAATTCTTTTATACCGAGTAATAAGATTTCTGCTTCCTCTTTTTTAGGTTTTAACTTTTGTAGAATTGGCATATAAAAACATTCTAAGAGTTCACAATTCTCAGACACAGAACAAGAGGAAAAAAAAAAAGCTTTAGTCTTTGCAAGTAAATTTTCTGACTAAGGTTTAAAAAAATGGCTTCTCAAAAGGGAGGTGGTGGTCGGTCTGGTGATAAGCAAGAATCTCACAAATCAGCGAAAAAGAACCTTTTTCGTCATTCTCCTAATCAGATAGCTAAACTTGAAGCGTAAGATCATCCTCTCTTGTTTACAATCTATTCATTTTATTTTATTCTATTTTGTGTTTTTTAATTAATTTCTTGGTTTCAATGTTGCATTGACCTGTTTTAGGGTCGAAGGATAAGGAAGGTGTTACCTTTTATCAATACCCCAGGGAGCAGATATTGACACTGGGAAATGATAATTTATAATTTCTAGAGAATCATTATAGAAGCTATTTCATAAATCCCATTTTGGTTTTGATAATTTTCCAGTGTTTTGTTTTCCCTTCATTGGAATGATTAATTTTCTTGTTGGGCTTGATCTTTGATTTACCAGCGTAGAATTTTAATTTTGTTTTTTAATGATTATACAAACATCGCCTCTTTTTTCATGATAGGTCGTGTTCCCCTAAATAAAATTGAATTTATACTCAAAGTAAAATAAACATGTGTATTGTACCCGCGCTTTAAATCGAAATAATTCTTGCGGGGTGTATATGTCAGAGATTTAAAGCCAAAATGGAATCTTTAGCTAGCGTCTTAAATTTTTAAGGGACTTAAATTTAATTTATACTCAAAATAAATGCATCTTGTTAGTATAGGTAGTACCAATTAATTCTTATAAGCTATCCTCACTGTGCAGTCTCATACTGCACAGTAGTTACATGCCCACCAGCTTCCGCCTGATTTGTCCTCGAACCACACCGTATTGAGAGAGAGAGAGGCCTGCCCGGCTGCTTCAAAAATCAATGACTATCCTCACACACTAAAACGAGATTTTTCAGCATGCTTTATCCTCACTTACACACTTGCTGGGAGAACTTTCCAGGAGGTCACCCATCCCAGAGTTGCTGCAAGTCAAACTTAACTATGGAGTTTTTATGTTAAGGGCTACCGAAAAGTAGATGCATCTTGTTAGTATAGATATTACCAATTAATTCTTATAAGCTATCTCTCACTGTGCAGTCTCAGTCTCATACCTGCACAGTCTTTGGAATCTCTCTTTTTTAAGTGTCGATTTGATTCATTCATGTGACTTAATTGGATTGAGCCTTGGTATGGAAACTTACCAAGTGAAAACTTTTCAAATTCAGAGAAACCCCGGAATTCACAATGGGCAATCCTGAGCCAAATCCCGTTTTCCGAAAACAAAGAAAAGCTCAGAAAGCAATGATAGGTGCAGAGACTAAATGGAAGCTGTTCTAACAAAACAAATGGAGTTGACAACATTTCCATTTGTAGTAGGAATTCCTACTAGGAAAGAGGAATCCTTCCATCAAAATTTCAGAAAGAATCAAGGATAAACATAGATATATATATCTATACATATGTCTAGTACATATGTACGAAGTTGAATTTCAAAATAAAAGAATGCCCCTTTTTTAAATTTAAAATACAAAAATTTCGAAAAAATGTTTTTCCCTAAAAAAGCTCCGCTAGAAGTCTGCTCGGAACCACTCCTTGTCTGTGCCCTTTCACACCGGCGGTCACTCCCCTCTCGTCAGCGCCTGGAATATTACAAATTTGTCTTCGGTTGATCTTTGATTGTGAATATTTTTTTTGGGTTGAAAGTCTATTTCCAATTAACTGTTTGAATTAATGGCGTTTCCTGTTTATTTATTCACGACGAATTTTGATTTTGATTTTTCATTCTTTTTAACTTTGAATTTGAGGTGGTGTTGGCAATTGTATATTGAGAGTTTGTAGCAGGTTAAATGCTCAAACTTATGGACGAAAAAAGTATATATCCACAAATAATGAATGATGATGCAATTTATTTTTTCTTTTTCAATAGAATGATGATGATGATGCAATTTGATCAGCACATTTGTTGGTCTCCCGAAAATTAATGTGTAAATTGTAATGGATGTTCTCTTTAACAGTTAATCAGAGTATTTGATTATATTATTTATTTTTTGGTGGCTTCATAAAAGATCATGAATGATCCGAAGCGCATCCGAAAATCCTGTTAACCATTTATGATGCCACTCTATTTCCTTAAATACTATGTAAGATTTTCATATCTAGCCTTGCATCCATTTTTCATGTATTTGTTTGCTCCATCAATATTAATAAATTAAATGTCTTCTTTCCTTTCCTTTTCATTTTTCATTTTTTATTATTTGATATTTAACTCATCAGTCAATATATACTCTCAACTTATTGAGCTTTTCACTTTTGAAATAAAGAATGTTCAAGGAATGCCAAAACCCAGACGAAAACCAGCGACGTCAGATGGGGGAGGAGCTTGGTCTTAAGCCAATACAAATCAAATTTTGGTTTCAAAATAAGAGGATACAAGTGAAGGTAACCTTGTCTATTTTCTTTAGTATGTTTTTTTTTTTAAGGACAATTTTATTACTTGCTTAGCTATGATGTACTGCTGATCATTTTATATATAAATTGTGATTTCCAGAACCTAAGTGAGCGATATAAGAACAATGCTCTTCGGCTTGAGTATGAAAGTTTACAATTAGAAAACTTAAGAATGAAAGAGGCTTTGAAGAATTTACTTTGCTCATCTTGTGGGGGTCCATCCTTAGGGGATGAAGTGCGCAACCATCATTTGCAAAAGTTAAGGCTAGAAAATTCACGATTAAATCAAGATGTTAGTAGTTTCATTGACTCTCTTTCGATTTGGATCCTGTATATATATATATATATATATTCGATTGTATATATGCATATAATGATTTGTTTTAAATTCATATTTATTTATGAATTAATTTTCAGCATGAGAGATTATCCAAACTTTTGGAAAACAATAGATGGCTACCTCTTCCACCTTCATCTTCATATGATCCCTCCGGAGGAAGTGATCTGAATCAAAATATTCCTGTTCATGATCCCCACATTCGTGCTTTTATTGAGTCACTTGATCAAAACATTCCAGCTCCTACTGAAACGAATGATGAAATATTTTCACCTCTTACTTCTCCTCTTGATGAAGATATTTCAACACTTGAGCAGGAGATTCCTTTTCCCTTTCTTGATCTAGATTTTGGTGCAGTTAGTGGAGTTTCTAACGATGATATGTTGCATCATCCAACGAACACAACTATGGACAGTGAGAGGGCATTTATGCTGGAGACTGCAAAAAGTGCTATGGAAGAATTAATAAGACTTTTGCGTATGAATGAACCATTTTGGTTCAGATCTGTGAATGATGGAAGATTCGTTCTTCAACGAGAAAGTTACAAAAATATCTTTAACAAAGATGATGAATTAAATGAACCTTATGCTCGGATAGAGTCCTCAAAAGATGCACGGATAGTGAGCATGAGGGGGACACAGTTGGTTGATATGTTTTTGAATTCGGTTAGCAATTCTAACTCTTCTTATTTTATCATATATTTCTCTCTCTCACTCTATCTTTAATATTGTATTGATTATCCACATATTGAAAAAATATATACTCATATATAAATTGTATGGTACTCTAATATTAATTAATTAATTTCTAGGACAAATGGGTTGATCTTTTCCCAACAATTGTTCAAAAAGCACATACAATTGAAGTACTTGAAAGCGGTTTGTTGGGAAGCCGAGACGGAGCTTTGCAGTTGGTATGTTTTGCTAAAAACCTTGTATATGTTATTATTCTTTAGTCTGTTTAATTTGCGTTAATTAGATGAGAATTAAGTGAAGACTCTTTGTACAGGTGAATGCAGAAATGCACATACTTTCACCATTGGTTCCAACTCGGCAATTCTCCTTCATTCGTTATTGTAAACAAGTTGAAGTCGGTGTGTGGGCTATAGCCGATGTGTCATTTGATTCCTCCAAATATGGCGTCGCTCTTTCTCGTGCTTGGAGACACCCCTCTGGATGCATGATTAACGAAATGATCGATGGGTCCTGCATGGTTAGTAAATTAGTAAATTTTATATTTCTGAAATAGAACAGCTACGTATACATAGATACATGTAACACACTTTATTATATCTATGTGGACGTAAGTAATAACTTGCATTCCAAAAGAAGATACCCTTTTATGTAACTTTAGTTGATGTTTAATTTATACTCATAGGTTACTTGGGTGGAGCATGTGGAAGTGGATGATAAGATCCAAACTCACCAGCTTTTCAGAGAAATTATTTGTGACAATAATTCATACGGAGCTGAAAGATGGGTTTTGACACTTGAAAGAATGTGTGAGCGATTTGCAAGTGCCGCGCTTGAAAATATACCTAGTTGTGACGCTGGAGGTTACTCTTCGCTCTCTTGATTTATTTTCTCTTTGATTCATTATTTTGTTTAAGGCTTATAAGTCTTTATATGCTATTGAATGTTCAGTGATAAGTATAGCTGAAGGAAGGAGGAGTGTTATGAAGCTTGCTCATCGCATGGTTAAGATTTTTTGTGGAAATTTAGACATGTCAGGTAACATGGAATTGCCACATATAAACAGTGGGGTTATGGTGTCTGTTCGGAATAACACAGAGCCAGGTTTGCCAAACGGCATCATTGTCACTGCTGCTACCTCCTTTTGGCTTCCTCTCTCCCCTGAGAATGTTTTTGACTTCTTGAAAGATAATAGAAGAAGAGCCCAGGTTCACATTTATCTTTTATTTTATAGTAAATATTAATCTTGTATTATTACACATTCGTTAATACTTAAAAAACAAAAAAAATCTTGCAGTGGGATGTTCTTTGCAACGGATATCCAGCGGACGAGATTCAACATATCTCAAATGGAACTCTTCCTGGCAACTGTATTTCAATTATTCGGGTACTTGCTTTTTTATTTCTAGTTTAATGTTTCAAATTTAACTAAATTAGTAGGTTTATATTTCAATTAGGTTATACCATGGGGCGGGATGAATGATCCCTAGTTGAATTTAAAAATCATCTTTGATATACCTCTTGCTAAAGATATTGCTCCAAATAGGTTAAGTTAAATTCAATATGGAAATATATCAAATAACTTGTACTTCAGAGTCAATATAATGAAGATCAACAAAAAGTGATATGATATGTTTGGATTAGATTTTTGAACTTGATTATTATGAGTTTACTCTTACATTTAATTTTGGTAAAAAGTGTGCTAGAGGTAAGTAATTTAAGATTATAAACATATATATGAAAAATTATTTTAGGGTAGCTAATAATTAATGTTTGAATGGTGTTAGTAAAAATAACATCCAAATTAGTATCAAAAGGAGCATGACTTCTCCCATGTGTGATAGTTAAACAATTGGTTGGTTATAAATAAGTTAAATTTGATTAAAAGCATACCAATATCGTTGATGTGGTGAATGCAGCCATCATTCCCTCCGGAGAACAATAAGCTGATTGTACAAGAAAGTTCTATAGATCCCTTGGGATCTTTGATGGTATATGCTCCTCTAGATGCATCAACACTTAATTTGGCAATAAATGGAGGAGACTCTTCACTATTGCCCTTTCTTCCTTTGGGGTTTACAATATCAGGAGATGGAAGATCAAAAACTGTTGCAGGAGAGTCAGGAGGTTCGTTGCTAACTCTGGCATGCCAAGAATTTGCTTGCAGTACATATGCAATGGGGGAGCTAAACATTGAATCTTCAGTAGCTGCCATGAATACACTTGTAACCTCCACTGTAGAGAAAATTAAAGCTGCTTTGAATTGTTCCAATTTGGATTGATTTTTTCGAGATGTACCTTCACAATTGTTTAAAGAAAGACAGGATGAAGTTTTTGATGTGTTCAAAATTATTTGTAGTTATTGGAACATTTGCTTGCAATTATGCAGGTTTATTTCAATGAAAATTATAAAGTAAGTTTATATAGAATAGTTAAGAAACTAGAATTAAAGAAATATCCTGCCAGGGTATTACACAAAAATGCTCAGTGATAAGTATTCAGCTGATTGTTTGTGACAAAATGTTACGGAATAATAGTAATTTGCAGTAACAGTGTTGAAATATTTAACTGAATTAGTTAGGTAATAACAGAAAGTCGTCAGTCCTCTTGTAATAATAGCCAAAGGTTCCTATAAAAGAGTTTGTACCAGTGTTGTTAAATTCGACTCGGGCATCGACTCGGTTGGGATACTGAATTATTGGGTTATTGGTCAGACTGGTGGGTCACTGGTCGGACCGGTTGACCCGGATATATATTGATATATAAAAATATTTATACATATGAATATATAAATTCAATTATATTTTTCATATCTAAAATGAATTAAACAAGATTCACTAAATAAGCTCAAAAACATGAAGCATAAATAAATAAAAATACATGTTATTACTATGTCAATTTGAATTACAACTCAGAATCCCCATAAAAATACCTCTCAATGACATTGAACTCATATTTTTCAAATTCAACTATAGTAAAATGACATTAAACATACCTCTCTCCTAACACAAAATAATCAAGGATTAAGTACCTTAAAAATGCAAGGATTCATGTAATGACATGGTACAACTCATGAGGAAATTTTATAAGAAAAGTTGCAATATATACAAGTACATAACTATTATTCCTCTTAATGGCCTAAAAAAAAACCCAATCTATGGTTTGATTGACCAGTTGATTATTATTATTATTATTATTATTATTATTATTATTATTATTATTATTTACACAAAACAAACTCTCCAAATTATCCTTCTCGGAAAAGGTTTTGAAGCTATATGAGTACCATCACTACAAAAAATACGCTACTTAGGGACATTAAAATAACTACAATTTTTAGAAATGTAGTTAATATTAAAAAAACGTTAAATATGCTATGCTATAATAAAATGTCGCAAAACAACGGGTGTTATTTTTATCTCATTGCACCTAATCCCTAAGTTTTTTTCTTCTTATTTTTGTTAATCCCTAAACCTAATCACTCATTTTTCCATTCTTTCTTCTTTTTGTTTGTCCACTCCATTGCAATACAACGTCCACATCTGATCCCAATGGGAGGTGAGCAGTGATGGCAGCAGCGAGAGGGGCCTCTCAATCTCAGTATGCAACTTCCACCACCAACACGCAACCATAGCCAATGGCTCCTCGCGGATCCACTGCCGCCGCCATCGGCATGCGCCGTCGCAATCTCGATGGTGGTGGAAACATTTTCAGTGGAGTCAAAGGCGAATCAGGCGCCAGAAGCAACATGTTGCGATTCTACACTGTCGACGCCACTGGCATGAAGATCTCGCCGATGGTGGTGCTCATGATGAGCCTCTACTTTATTGGCTTCGTCACTGCTGTCCACGTGTTTAGCAAGCTTAACTAGAAGTGGCAAAGTGGGCGGCTTGCCCCGCCTTGTCACGCCATCAACCGTCCAAAAAATGGGCCAGCCCGCCTCACCCCGTTTAGCGGGCGGGGTGTGTTGGCTTGCCAGCTCGAATCTATTTTACACTGACCCGCCTCTACCCACCCTTCCCCGCTATCAACCCGCCAAAAAAGAGCCGCCTCACTTTCAACTTGCCAAAGTAGTTTTGATTTTAAACTCACATTGATATTTGATAAAAAAAATTGATTAAAAAAAAGCAAAACTACTTTGCTATCAAATAAAATTGATACAATAACTAAATTTACCTTGAAAAACGCAGCAAGAAATGAGATAGTGGCATAATCTTACTCATAATTTATTGTTATGTATATATATGAGAAATTTCCCTTACTCTGTTATATGAGTTTGATTTATGTCCATTTAGTATTTTTGTTACTTTCATCTATTGATTTATAATACCAATGTGAACTATTTCATTTCTTATAACACCATGCAATATTAATTGTGTTTCATTTCTTTCTTATTATCAAGCTAATTTATTTTTTTATTTTGTGTGTGCAGGTGTGATAGAGTAGATAACACTTCAAAGGACTAGGATATGCATAGTGTAACGCTTGGCAACTAGGGGCATCAAGGACTATCCCCACACACTAACATGAGACTTTTGATGAGCATACTCTATCTTGACTCACAAACTTTATAGGAAAACCTTCCAAGAGATCACCTATCCCAGAATTACTGCAATTCAAGCATGCTTAACTATGGAGTTCTTCCATTCTGGGCTACCGAAAAGTAGATGCATCTTGTTAGTATAAATAGTACCAATTAATTCTTATAAGTTATCCTCAACTTTACTGTCCTATACCAGCATTGTCTCTGGAATACCTCTCTTTTGGATGTTGATTCAATTCATTCATGTACCCCCACCGCTGGAAGCCTTTCAGGAGCCGCTCCTTGTCTCTACCCTTGCGCACCGGCGATCACTCCCCGTCCTCGTCAGCGCTCGAGATGTTACATGTAAGAACCCGCACCGTTAATTAAGGAAGTTAATTAATTAATTATGTGAAATTAGGAAATAATTCCATAATTGACCCTAATAATTATTATGAGGCTTAAATAAATATAGAAAGTGGTTAATAATGCTGAAAGTCGCTTTTCGGACGAAAAGTGCAGATACCGGTTCTGCTAGTCGGTATAAATGCTGACCGAAAAAGTATCCCAGAAATTTATAATAAGTGCATGATAATTCTTAGAATATTATATAGGACTAGTAAAACAAGTTTCAGGTCAAAATAATGAGAACTGGTGCCAGAACTGATACTGGCTATGGAAAAGCGCGTACCGAAAAGATGCTGCGAAAAATAAAATAAAAATATGAAAAATATTAGAAAAATGAGTAGGTTCAAAATTCTAAGTTTGAGATTAAAAAGCTAAGCGTAACAATTAATGATAATACAGTGTGTTTAATTAATAAGTGGCTATATATATGCATTTTAGCACAAACCCTAGGCATTCTCATAATTTCTGCGTGAGTGGTGGCTGGTCAGGGTGTGTGTACACTGTTCCATTGCTGCACCTCCATCTTGTGAGCCTTGAGACCTCTTTTCTTCCACTAAATACCTTGTGTGTGTGAGAAGAATCATTGTGAGGGTGAAAGAGGGCTGCGTTCTGGTGGTTCAGCCTCTGTTCTTGGTTGTTGAGAGGCTGACCTTTGTTAGCTTGAGGTGGTGGGAGCTTGGTGTGGCATTTTGGAGCTTCAAAGTGACACTTTTGTGAAGAAAGAACTCATTTTGTGTGTCATTTTCGTGCTCCCTCTAAGTCAGAACCATAGAGAGCTCCAAAAGCCTTCCTTTTCTGAGTTTGAAGCTTGGGTAAGTTGTTGAACCCATGATCTTGAGTTTTTATGCTTAAAAGTAGAACCTTGATGCATGTAATGGATTAAAGATCATAACTTAAGAATGGGTAATGTTAAACACACCTTAAATCGCATGTTTAAGCTTCTGGAAGCATGAAATGAGTCACCTTTGGGAAGGATATCTCGTGAAATGCAGAACTGCATTCTATCGTGAAATATCTGGATATGATATCCGGATATGGGGTCTCTGATATCAGTATATGGATATCCGGATATGCATATCCGGATATGATATCCGGATATGGGATATCCGGATATGTCCCCGACAAATATTCGAATATTCTGGGTTTTCGTGAACAGTGAAGGTACTGTTCATACAGAACTGAGTTATGGGTTAGTAGACCCTATGTTGATGAAGTTGAACTTCTGTAATAATTAATGTAAGTCAGAATCAAGAAATTAAGGGCTTGTGGCTTTGTGAGAAGCCTAAAGACGTAAAACGTAAAGGAAGGGTGTTGTCTTTAAATCGTATGCTTGTTGTGCCTAAATATTGATAATATTGTTGGTCCAAACAGATTGTGATCTTGCTGTTTGTGGACTCTGAGATATTGTGGACTCTTGGCATTGGATTGTTAGCTTGCAAGGTAAGCTTCTGTGTCCTCGGTTTAGGCATTGTATGTTCCACCACGTCCCATGGGGGGATGGTTTATATGCATGATGTGTTTTCATGTACTGTTTTATGAAATGCTATGGAGCTATTAAGTGCAAATGCTTTATGATATGTATGTGGTGTGACGCCTACACATGAGGCCATGGGGCGATCCTGTGGGCGAAATAGCATGGGCTGGTACAACATGGGCTGATACTGTGTGGGCAATAGACGTATTCTTGCACTTCTCTGATCAGTAGAATAGTATAAACACACATGACATGATTATCTGCGGCATTGCACTATTTTGGAAACTATATTGTTAAACTGCTTTTGAACTTATATTGCACATGTAAGTGAGCTTGGGGTGGAAGATCCTTGAGGACCCCTTGTGTTACTGAGATTTCTTGTTTAGAGATCTTACCCCACGTTTGGGGGCGCTTATTTCAGGTTCAAGTAATATGGGGGCTGATGCCTCTAGCGGCAGGAGGCCAAAGCTTAGTTGATGATATTGCTGTTATATTTATGCTGACATGTCTGGATTGGATGCTGTTTATGTTTTCCGCCTTATTATTATGTTGTTGATGTTGAGACTTATGTTGGGCTTGATGCCTTATTTGGGTGAGCATGGGGTTTGTCCATGCCACTTTATGTTAGTTCTTTGAGTTGAGTTGTATAACTTAGTAGGTTGTCCGGTCTACGTGTTGTAGTTCCGTGACTAGAGACATACTTATGTTATTTATTTAATGAGGTATTTCAGTTAGCTGTTTATTTGCAATTTACATACAGACGATGTTTTGAAAAATGATTAAGTAATCAAGCTGGTAATTGATAATGACGTCATAATTGGAAAGAGAAAGATATTCCGCATTTTTAAATTAAGCGTGGCTTAATACGATGACATGAT